GGTAAAGCTAACATCTGTATGGGTGGTTGTCAAAATTATGGTCCTTTTTTGGGTCCTTATTATAAGACGGCACCTATTATTTAGGGTACCCCAAAAGGGACCATAATTTTGACAACTACCCACATCCGAAGATGCACGTCTCTGCCCTAAGTCCACCCGAACTACACTCCGAATGCTACGACCCGAAACAAAAGCTCCAAGTGACCAAACTCCGTCGCCCGAAATCGAAAACGGAAACCCACCCTAAACCCTAAACCCTATACCCTAAACCCTAAACCCTAAACCCTAAACCCTAAACCCTAAAGGCCCTCAGCCCCAAAGGCCCCATTACCCAAATACTAAAGGCCCTAAGCCCTGAAGGCCCTAAACCCTGAAGGCCCTAAAGCCCTGAAGGCCCTAAAGCCCTAAAGGCCCTAAAGCCCTAACCCTAAAGGCCCTAGACCCTAAGCCGCCTAAGAAAGGCCCTAAACCCTGAACCCTAAACCACCTAAGACCCAAAGGCCCGAAACCCTCAAGGCCCTAAACCCTAAAGCGCCTAAGAAAGGCCCTAAACCGTAAAGCCCACTAAACCCCAAAGCCCACTAAACCAGGCTTTCGGCGCGTTCCCGAGTAGCCGGGTCTTCGTGGAGCGAGCGGTGGACCCTTCAGGCTTTAGGGTGTCGGGTTTAGGTAATGGGTTTAGGGTAATGGGGTTTAGGGTTTAGGGTTTTGGGTTTGGGGTTTGGGGTAGGGGCCTAAAAAGATTACCAACACTATTCTGGGGTTCCTTATTATAACTCTAGTATATTGGGCCCCAGAACCCTATTCTAATTGCTGAGAGAATATTCCGCAAACTCTGACATTTCAGAAGTACAGCTTCGCTTTGCGGTTAAAGTCGTCTGCTCGTTTTGCGCCATAGTCCCTTCAGAGGCTCCCCTCGAAGGCTAATTATTAAGGCCCTAATATTAGTTTAGGGCTTCTGGTTCGGAGTTCAGGGTGTCGGGTTTAGGGCTGAGGGTTCGGGCACTGTTCGGGCTTTAGGGTTCAGGGTTTCGGGCTTAGGGTTTGGGGCTTTGGGTTCAGGGGTTGGGGTTTGGGGTTACTCACTCATAGTGTTTCGGTGCTGTTGGGAAAAGCAGCTAGTCTGGTTCTTGTCATCTGCATTGTTAGAGCAGCACTCATTGTCAGTCATCTCGACCGTGACTCTCTAAATTCTTTTAGGCCGCGGTTCTCGTTCATAGTCGCCTGGTCATTTGTCGGAATGCTTGCTTCGACTGCGGCATGTATTGATACTTCCCCCTCCTGTCATGGTAGGACTACTGTCATGTACTAACATAATTTTGCCTCCAGCGGTCGTGGTGCGCTTTGTTGTAACCGCATGTTCACGCTTTGTTAACGCTTACTGGCACTTTTGCTGTCACCACTCTTGTATTCCTTGCGTTGCCGTCTTGGCGGTTGTAAGGGTGCTGGAAGTCTGTTGCTTTCATGCCTCTGCTGATAGCATTGTTTCTAGCATATGCCTCAATATCCTTGGTCAACACAACCCACTGTCCGTCCTGCCGGAGAGGCCGCTTAGCGCAGCCTCCCCTGGATCCGCGTCTGCAAGCACCGAGCCCAAGCGACCTGGCAGCAGAGGATTGGATTGAAAGGTATTCTATGCGGGCATTGAGGATCGTCGCAAAGTCCGGTATTGGATGTGAGATGTGGGTGGTTTGCACATCGAGCGGCTGATCCGGTATGGCGTTGGGTCCAAAATTGCAGACCAGAAACAAGAGGCTTCAATTCATCCACTCAAACCGGATCCTGGCAGTTTTGATGTTGCGAGTGTTTCGTGACGTTGGGAACTTGTTTGGGCAGGCCAGCTCAAGACTAGGCCCCTTGCTGGGGTGACTCTCAGTTGCAGCTGTAGCTTGCTCCAAGTTGTCCAGATCAATATCCAGGGCATATTGTCGTGAGGCGAACACGTGGTGGTTGCTTCTTGCCCTTCGGGACACCTTCTTGCAGGCCTGGGAAATGCGGAAATCCTCAAATTGTTCAAGATACGCAGCAAAAAGCTCGAACCTAAAGGCCTTAGACGTAGACCTTGAACCCCAACGTCCATCCTTTGACCTTCACCGTTTGCAAATTGCTGTCACATGTATTGCTACCGACTACTGTCACTGCTCTACTCTTATTGGTGCTCATGTAAGCATTCTGACAAGTAGCTTTAGTGTTGTCATCGTTATTGCTCTAATACCGAGACTACTACAGTAGTAGCGGTCGCTGCTAGGATCATACCTAGTCATTCCTGCTCTTCTTATCACATTGTAGAACTGCGTAACACTGTCATACCCTATGATTACTAGCAATATTCGTACTGCTAGTATAATCTGATTATAATACTGATATAATATTAGTATAATTTTAGTATAGTTTTTGTAAAATAATTGCATAATCCTATTTTTACTAGTAACCCCTAAACCCTAAACCCTAAACCCTAAACCCTAGAATCATCCACCTTTTCTTCCTGTCGCTGTTAGTGCTCCTCAGGGCAGCTCCGGTGCCTGGCGCGGCGTGCCCTCGAGCCGGGCATGGCCCTGTGCTATGCAGGCGGGAGAGCGGTCTTCGGTACCAGGGTTTAGGGTTTAGGGTTTAGGGATTAGGGTTTAGGGTTTAGGGGTACAAAAGTTCCAAAAAGGATCCAAAATTGAAGACACCTTGTTCTGTTACACCCCTAGAAATGTTTATGTAAAAGAGATTAAACACTTATACGTGCACCAGCATGTCTTCTTGCTCATGTACACATGTCAACTGTGTATGCAGGTATTGGGTGTGCGACCACATTGCGACACTGTGTATTCTACTGCGTTCTTTTCTGGTCTTTTGTGTTTCCTCTTCTGTTTGTGTTAGCAAGCGTGTACCGTACGGTGCTCGAGTATGTGTGTATACTACACATCTAAGTATGCAAGTACATATAGATATATGTACGTGTGTGTGCATGTGTTTATGTGTGTGTGTGTGTTTGCGCGTCCGCATGTGTGTGTGTGTGTGCGCGCATGTGTGTGTGTGTGTGTCTGTGTTTAGATGTGTAGGGGTCTTTTTGTGTGTGTCCGTATGTCTCTGCGTGTGTGCATGTATGAATGTCTATGCATGTGTTTATGCCAACAGATAAACGAACATGCATGCATGTTCGCATATACGCACGTGTCTGTCTGTCTGTCTGTCTGTCTGTCTGTCTGTCTGTCTGTCTGTCTGTCTGTCTGTCTGTCTGCATATGTATATGTATATGCATATGCATATGTATGTGTATGTGTATATGTAT